TTCATTAAACTTTAAAACATGCATAATGTATGTATGTAGTACTTTTAGTAAACTTTAAAACATGCATAATGTATGTATGTAGTACTTTTAGTAAACTTTAAAACATACATAATGTATGTATGTAGTACTTTTAGTAAACTTTAAAACATACATAATGTATGTATGTAGTACTTTTATTAAATTTTAAAACATACATAATGTATGTAGTACTTTTATTAAATTTAAAAACATACATAATGTAAGTATTACTTCCATTAGACTTCAAAACACGAATAACATATTACTACTACTTCCATTAAAATTTAAAACCTGCAGAAAGTATGTATGTATTACTTTCCTTAAACTTCAGAACCTTCATAATGTATGGATATAGTAATTTCATTAAACTTTATTTTTCATTATGTTTAGAAATGTGCTTACATAAAAAGTATAATTTCATATTGCTCTACAGCGTACTAAATGTACATAATCAGAATAAAAATCCAATGTAGGAAACAAACTAACTCGGTAGTTGTTTACTTCCAGTTTTTTACTGCGTCATTAGTAGGGAGTATATATATATATATATACTAGTGAAATTCTGTACTTCAAATGTTTTTAGGCAATAAAAGTTTTGAATGATGACATGGGATGTGACATTATTAAGATAGGCAGCTTGGTTCGTAACAGAGAAAGATTTGTGAAAAGGAGGCAACGACTTATTGGTCCAAATGGTTCCACATTGAAAGTAAGTGGAAGCCTTTTTTGTGTATATTTAACAGTCTGAATACTTTTTTTTAAATATGCTAAGAGTTTGAAATAATGTAGAAAACTTGTTAGTGTTTTCAGTTTTTCTTACTTATATCTAACATTATGAAATCACATTTGAATTAAAAAATAATTGTGAAATCTTACGTGTTTTAGTCACAATTTTCCATTATTGGAAATCAGTTTTATTGTTTTAACTTATTTACCTCAGAAACAGAAAAAAACCTGTGACAGCACCTGTTGGCATTTTGTTTTATTAATAAATATTTTATTATGCTTAAAAATATTATTTATTTCTATTATTGAGACAGCATATTAATTCTCATAAATTTTCTAATAGATGAATTAAAGATAGAACTATTTACCATAACAACCTGTAACTGAAACTAGAAGTTGATATTATTGTCTTTATGTATGAATTATTGTGAACCACCCAAACTGCTTACATGATATGGCTAATCTTTTTATTCTCTGTTTTTTCATTACAGGCTATTGAATTGCTCACCAACTGCTATGTTTGTGTCCAAGGAAACACTGTTGCTGGCCTTGGTCCTTATAAGGGATTACAACATGTAATTAGTGCTCTTAATTGGCCTAAGACTGACTTAGGTTTTAGTTTTGTTGATAAAGAATGATTGAAAATCAAAACATGCAAAATTATCAATAATTATGAATCATGTTCTTCATATTTTTTTACTAATTACAAAACATGCATTTGAAACAGGACTTAAATAATTGGATTATTTATTTAACGTTTGGAGAAAAGTGAATGGAATAAGCATGTATTAAACTTTTTGGTGTCTTATGATCTCACTCATTTGTTGTTTTGTTTGAATCAGATGTGGTTATTATGTGCAGATGAAAAGAAACACTTTAATTCATTCTAAGCAAAAAAAGTTATTTAGCTAATTTTTTAGGCAAATGACTTTCACAAGACCTTGTTGGCCACATAGTTCTTTTCTCTGTTTACCTCACTGCAGCTTTAACTATTTCTTTGTATTTTCTAATTTTTTCGTGCTGTAGCTGCCTTTATATGTTAGATGTGGATATTAAATTGCTGTACAGATGTGGTTTAATTTCAATGCATGTTTGTTGTTCGTTCACCAGTAAAGTATACTTTTATAATTGTATTGATATATCTTTTTATTTTAGCTTTTTTGGTATACAGTTAAACCAGTAAGATAATCTTTAGATACACAGTTAAACTAGTAAGATAATCTTTAGATACACAGTTAAACTAGTAAGATAATCTTTAGATACACAGTTAAACTAGTAAGATAATTTTTAGACACACAGTTAAACTAGTAAG